CCAAACAAAAACATGCAGCAGATCTTGGGCCGATATTCCCTTTGAAGGTTGTTTATGAGTGGAGCCGTAGACATGGCAGACTTGATTTCTTTAATCTCACTTCTGTTTCCTCTCTACTCCACCTGTCAAGTTTCTCTCTTTCTCCACTTCATCTCTCGTTCCTCGCTCTCCTCTTTCCTATCAACAGTTTGAGGGTTTTTGCTGTTCATTTCCTTGAATTATGACATATCACTGCTCTGGATATCACAGCACTGGTTAGTTTTATTTAGAGCTCTGTCAGTCAAAAAAATATATAAATAAAAATATTTGGATGGTGTATATATATATACCGAAGTAGGTCTCGCTTAGTCAAGTCAAGCCAAGTCACTTCTACTTATAGCACTTTGTACAAGACAGAAAAATAGCAGTGTAAATGTTGCAATTCATCAGTTATGAAACACACACACACACACATACATATATATATACACACACACATATAGGAGGAAAGAGGGAAAAAAATATGAAGAGATTGATTATGTTGGTCAAAAGACAGAACATCACTCCCTTAGCCTTTGCTTTAGAAACACTCATGCAGCAGTGTCAAATAGTTTTATGTAATTTAATGCTAAGGTAAGAAAACTAAATAAAGTGTAATTGTACATTAAAAATGTTAAAAATGAAAATATAAAAGACTTTGGTGGATTTATGGTATTAATAACTGGAAACGCATAATCACAGTCTGTTAAAAGAGTCCAAATGTAATACAATATTGTCAGCACAGTTTAATCAATAATATTACTGAATATTAATTGTCTTTTAGGACTTCTTTGGCGTAGTCAGGCTTTTTACTACTTGCTTATTCTAGTCTGGTCCTTACTTTTGCTTAAAACATCAACTTAGACAGGACGAGATTGTCTGATTGGCGTGTAAAGACAAATTGCAAATAACGCATTGAAATAAACTTGAAATTTAGTAGAAAGACAGAAATACTATTTTCTTCAAGAACTTACTTATTTGCGTCTTTTTTACAGTGTATGCTTTTTTTTAATGGAAATTTTGTTAAATAAACCGAACTAAGCACTTCAAAACAAAACTCTAAATATCTTTCAGAGAGTTGATGCCACTAACCTCACCAATACTGACAAATCCAGTGATTATTTTATTATCATAAGTGCTCGGCACCCTGTAAGCACAGCTTTGTTTGTAGGCGGAGTGATTTAAAAAAATATATCAGATATTACTTGTCAGCCATTCAGATTGTGACTGGCAATTTCAGCCATCTCATGCCATTTTTGTGTACAAAATACTTCACAGCGTCAGGGAACAGACTGAAATGAACCCATTCAGTTCTCAGTGAGCAATGAAATACTATCAACAGAATGAATGTCCTTCAATTACTTTAAATAATGGTTAATTGAGGGTTAAAGTAAGCGTCTGTGTCTGTGATGGAGACGGATGGCACTCGTGCTTACACAGACACTCTTAATGAGCTTCATCAGGGGCGTCGTTTTCATTTACTCCATTACAAACCCATGAACACCAGCGCTCTGATGAGACCTGGTTATAACCGTGCTGTTTTGATGTGAATATGCTGCGCGTCATTGATCTGTCACAGTGGGGAAGAGCGATTATGAAGGTCTTGGGGAGTAAAATGAACTCTCGTAGGCAGAACGATGGGGTGACGCTGTCATATGATCCCTGACGGGGGTTCCAGAGACCACCTGTCAGCCAAAGACCCATGAATGATTCATGAAATCAGCAATAATCAATATCCATTTTCGTTTCATGCACACTAAGGTGCTTTCACACTTTGTTCGCTTGCCTGGTCCGAACCTGAGTTTGATTACTCCCCCCTCCCCCTGCCCCCGCTGGACTGCGTTCACATTATTTTATTTGGGTCCGAACCGCGGTTCGTTTTGCGTCATCAAGCCAGCAGCCGTTTGCCCCGTTGCGTAGTAATGACGACGCAGAAGGCGGCGGCAAATGCATAACATTGCTCTCTGCACTTTTATATATTTACGTTTTTGAACCGGTCGTTTACAAAGCTTCGGTACATAACGGCACTTACGTCTGTCTTAGGAATGTATTGCAAATGCTCTAAAGAACACTGAAGGCGAACAGAAATGAGATGTACAGCTCTCTGTTTGCAGCGCGTCAGTCACGCTTGTCAGGAAAGTGAGTGAAACACACACACAAACACACATTTTTATCAAACAATACGTCATTAATAGTGGTTCACTTCTGTGATTTGGTACGATTGCGTTCACATCAGCAGCGAACCGTACCGGAGTTCACTTGAACCGTACCCCAGACCACCCTTTTTAAGCGGACTCGGGTACGGTTCGCGGGTGCGCACCCGAGTTCGGAAGACAGCGTTCACATCATCCAAACGAACCGAGCTCTGACGTCAATCGAACCCGGGTGCGCACCAAAAGTGCTAGTGTGAAAGCACCCTTAAACCCTTGACTAACATATTCACAACGCAAGCATTTACATTGCTGAGGGAATCTGAATTATGAACTTGATTTAATTTACAACAATGAAGAATTGAATTAACATATCACAGTCACATTGTTGCTTTCTTTTCTGTTCATTTGTTTGTTTGTTTCCTTTGTTCTTCCTTTTGTTTGTTTTTGCTGGTTTGTTTCATTCATTCATTCTTTTTCTTCTATTTCTTGACTTTTTGTTCATTTGTTTGTCCCTTTTTTGTTCTGAATGTTTGCTTGTTCTTTTTTATTTCATTGTTTTATTGTTCTTTGATTGTTGATTGTTTTGTTTTTTCAATTTCTTTGTATCTTTGTTTCTTTCATAGAAATCTTTTCATGCATGACTTTCTTTAATTTGCTCATTTCTTTCTTTTGTTCTTCATTTTGTTTGTTTTTGTTCTTTTGTTAATTTCTTTCTTCTTGTGCTCTTTGTTTCATGACTTTAATTTGTCATTTTTTATTTTGTTTTAATTTAGTTTTAGTTTGTTTTTTTAGTTCTTTCATTATTTTTTGTTTCTTTTGTTTCTTGCTTGCTTTCACAAAAAATGAAAGAGTTTTCATGCAGACTGAACTAACACGTCATATTTTGTTTTCTCCATTTATTTGTTTGCTTATTCTTCTTTGTTTCTTTCTTTAGTTAATTTTCTTGATTCTTTCTTTCTTTTATTCTTCGGTATTTGTTTTTGTTGGTTTGTTTAATTCATTCTTTGCTTTCTGTTCATATGTTTGTCTTTTTTTTTTTTAGTTCTTTCATTGGTTTTTATTTTATTTGATCAGTTTCCTGCTATCTTTCTTTCTTGATTTTCTCCTTTATTTCTTTTATTTTTGGCTGCGTGGCTCTCTGTCATGCTGAGATGGATTAAGCAAGGTTGTAATATAATGGAGTTGCCATGGAGAGAAGCAGATAACTGTGTATTAGATGTGCGTCCTTGACCCCTGCCCTTGACCTCTGCCACAGGTCAGCGCTGATGTGGGGTTAAACACACATTTATTCATTGCTATGTCTGAGATCAGGGCAGTATGTGGGGGTTTATGTGTGTGTGTTCAGTGACATATACACCTGTAGTCTGATTATTGTGAATAACAGTATTGAGCTAAATGTTACAATATGCTCTCGTCTGTCCCATTTACATGCCATTTGCCATTGTTTTGATTATTTGCTAAGAAATGTGATTCTTTTATTGTCGTTTTGTCACTTGTTTGCTAAACTACAACACAAAATGTTCCTGTTAAATGCAGTAGGTCTGTTTGTTTCTACTGCTTTTTTTGTCTTGCAACTATAGTTTTCACTTTGTCAGAAGTGTCTACAATGTCTCCGTTCCAGTGTTTCTGACCAAACGCTTGATGCATGTGCATGATGTCTGTGTTGCATAAAGCTGTAAGCAAACTTGGCCGCGCGACAATTTTTTTAAACTTAAAGCAACTTGCACTGACATTTCCTAAAAAAACTACTTAAATGTCCTAATTTAACTAAGGCAAAATCCTGGCTTAATCTAAACCCTGTCTGTGAAAGCAGGCCCAAGTGATTTTCTGTTCTGCCATGTTTTTTAAGCAAAGGATGCAACACTAGCACATGCGCACGTAAGGCCCAGTGATATATAGTTACTGTTATTATGGGCATAAACACAGCTTTGTGTTGACATGAGATCCAACTTAATCACAGTACTGCCATAATGGCATTATAAGGCTACATGTAAAAACATGAACATGAGTGAGTTCCTGTCCTGTGCAGGTGTTGATCAAAGAGCAGTGGATGAAAGACCTGATTGAAGACATTGTGTTTTAATGAAGGATTGTGTGATGTGTTTCATATGCAGATGTTTTCACCTCTTATTCACTGAGTTGCATTAGTATTTAACAGGTTTATTTGTTCAGATAATGAGCATGTTCAGTGTTTCCATGCTCTTTTGCCACGCAAATCTGTCAAGAACATGTTTGAGAGTTGAGTAGCTTATGCAAAACAGCAAAATATGTTCAGATATCTTCATTTACCTGTAAACATGGTTGTTTACATTTAAAATGTGCACGTTTTTAAAAATGTAAATATCGTATAATAAATAATAAGTAAAAAAGTAAAAAATACTGGTCAATACACCCATATACAAAGTGTTATTAATATTTCATTTTCACTATAGTTTACGCGAATAGATATAAATGAATCAAAAAGTGTTGCAGTAAATGTATTATATTATATTAAACCAAATGTATTATTTAAATATATAATATTTTCTGTATGTCAAATTTAATTTGTCATGCTTTTTGCATTAATTACTTGTCTCTAAAGCATGTTCTTGACATAGTTGACCTGATACAGCACAGAAACACACACACACGGTCATTATCTGAACAAATAAACCTGCCAAAATGTAATTTCTTATGATTTTTCATTCATTTTGTTTTAGACCTGGACATGTTTTCATGAGATTTACTCATTTGCATGAGCGTGCTTGTGTGGGCAGCATGTATTGCCATGTTTCTGGCCATGCTTGCATCATATGCCTACATGTTAATCCCGTGTGTGTCTTTGTGCAGAGTTGCCAGAGAACTGGACAGACACGCGGGAGACGCTGCTGGAGGGGATGGTCTTTCAGCTGAAGTATCTGGGCATGACGCTGGTGGAGGAACCCAAAGGAGAAGAGCTCTCAGCCGCTGCTGTCAAGAGAATCGTTGCCACAGTAAGACAAACACACATCACCAGACAATGAAAGACTGAAATTAATGACAGGGCAAAGGTCCATGTACACTTTTTAAATGTAGTCATTATGCTTTCTTCTGAGGCCTAAAATATGCTTTATTGTCCTCAAGTAGGATGATCCTGGATTAACCAGACTACCATGCACTCTGAAAAATAAAGGTTCTAAAAGGGGGTTAGAAGAGCCATTTGAGTTTCCTTGCAGTGAACAGTTCTTAAAAGAACCGTTTTTCTTAGTGTGAAGAACATTTTAATTCTATAAAGAACCCTTTTCCACTATAAAAACCCTTTTGTGCAATTGAAAGGTTCCATGAATTTTAAAGGTTCTTCGTGGAACCATCAGTGTAAGGGGAAAATGCAACAAAAGTGTAGAGTTTAATGCCTTTAAGTAACATACACAGCTCTAATGTGTCTCTTATGCTTTGTAAGTGGTGCTAATGGGAGTGTGTGTCTCAGGGGATTTCTGGGTGTGGTTCTGTGTGTTTCAACAGGCTAGATCCTGTCATGACGTAATGTTGTTTTGAGGTTATTAAACACTCCACATTGTTGCGATTCAGCCGTAAAAATCAGTTGCATACCGAATGGACTGTGCAAGCCTGTGTGCGAGTCAGTGCATTCAAAGCCAGATGTGGAATCTTCCTACTTGATAACTATAAATGGGATTGAGTGTTTGACTTATTGAAGATGATGTATAAGAAAACAAATGAGAGTGCTACCTTTAGCTTAGCAGTTAAATTGTCAACAGCGAAGCCTCCTAGGAGCCAGATTGTGAAGAATAAATTATGCTGTGTTCTTCAGTGTACAGTTATCAGTAATTGTGACTTATCAGGGTTTGACTTTCTGAATTCACTTAAAACATTTGGTGAAAATAAAGCATTTAAATGTTTTTTTTTTAAACAATTTTTATTATTCAAAAATAAAAATTCACAATTCATATCAGATCATTCGGATGTAGTTTAGTGCATTTCAGTTACCAAATCAATAGCTCATAAAACTGCTATTCTGTTGTGTTTATTAAAGATTGAAAATATGATTGTTTTTAATGCATTCCATATTTTATATAACCAAGGCTTTCATTTTATCATGTTAATATAGCACATTTTTTTTAAAACTTAACATCTTATATGCAGTGTTATTTTAGTATTACTTATGTACTATTATAGTATGTATACATTTTTTGAATTGTCTTTTATTTTGACATTTTCAGTTTTCATTTTAATTAAAATTTTAGTAATTTTGTTTTTGCTTTTGTCATTTTTATAATTATTTTGTTATATTTATATTTTGCTTTAAATTATTATGATTTTAGTTTAAGTAATTTTATTACTTAAGCATTTTTTTTTATTTCAGTTTGTTTATTTCGGAAACAACTAATGTTTTTTTTCTGATTTTCTGAATCTGATTTTTATATTTTATTTTATATCAGCCTTATTTTAGTTAAAGAAAGCTTTTTAGATATATTTCGTAAACAATAACAATAATATGCTCATTGTCCAAGATGCTGAAAAAACTAAAATCTAATTTCTAAAACTTCCAAAATCTAATGGAAAATCTCTGATGAATAAAAAATCGTTTGATGGGTTCAGCAGGACAGCTGCTTGATAAAGCTGTGTTTTTTGTCTCTCTCGCGCAGGCTAAAGCTGGTGGGAAGAAGCTTCAGAAGGTGACGCTGAAGGTTTCTCCTCGAGGGATTATTCTCTACGACAGTGCATCGAACCAGCTAATAGAGAATGTGTCCATATACAGGTGAGTCACCTGCGGCTGTTTGTCATGTTGCCCTGTCTGACACCGAGTCTGTGCTGTCTGTCTCTAGGGATGAAAATCATCAGGAATGTAGTGATTCTGCTTCAGGTTTCAAATGTCATATAATGGTTCCCTTAACAACTAGGGCTCCTAATTGGTCCCAAACATATAATCCAAAATACTAATATATATACATTACATTTACATTGTCATTTAGCAGGTGCTTTTATCCAAAGTTTTTTAAATGATCAAAATCATTGGGATATAAAGAATTGCATATATATGGTTTACCCCATCTCTCTTGCAATAAAAAAAAGAAAGGATTTGTTGTTGCCCGCTGAAATCCTGCCATCCATCATTTATGGCTGTGCGACCTCAAGATTGCTGTGTTTTCATACAGACAGAGAGAGAGAGAGATGTTTGTGTCAGGATCCTCTATCGATCTGTTTTAGTGTCTCTGAGGCTCAGACAGACACTCTCTGACCCTCACCTGGGACCGCAGCTATTATTGGAAGCTTGCATGCGCTCAGACGCCGGCTGTGGTGTGTGTAATGAATAAACATGAGCGAGGTGTCGCCCAGCCAGTCTCTCCACTCTAATTACACCAGCGATACTCCAATCATGTGGCTAATTTTCATGAAAACATGTCCAGGTTTCAATTCACCCTAAAATCAAAAATTATGTTCTGAAAATGAAGAAACGAAAATGAAGCCTACATGTAGATCCATTAAGATGGTTTGCATTGTGACATTATTTTCATGACAAATATGCACATTCTCTCTTAAATTCTAATGTAATGAGTGTAATGACTTGCACAGACACTTGTATATAGCAGACCATCACGTCACCTCCTCTGAGATTTAACAACGTGTACAAGCAGTGCTGAGCTCTCTGTGTTCAACACTTCATCAGCACTTTGACAGAAAGCTGACCCACCAAACCATAACACACACCCACACACACACACACAGGATAGTTGGTCTGTGACTGCATCGTCTCTGGTTTCCTGTTGACATCTCTTTGTAATGTGCAGTAAACTCATGAACTCGTCCAGTGCTGATTTCTCCCCTCGGCCCTGAGTAAGAGCTGGCTCAGCCTGTCACAGGGCGGCCCCACAGCAGCAGGGGCGGGACTAATGACGGACGACCGCCATCTGTCCTGTTTCACATTTAAAAATTCACACACATACTGTACTTAGAGACACTTACAAAACCTTTCTTAAATTACTTAAAATTCAGATTAAAATTCAACATTAAAAACATTTCTCCGTATTATCAATGTAGAAAACTGGTGCTATGTGTGTGTATAATGATAATTAAATATATATATATATATATATATATATACAGTGCACAGCATAAATGAGTACACCCCCTCTAAAACTTAACAAATTCAGCAATTGCTCTTTAGCTCTTTAACATGTTAGGGTTCTTTGGAGATGTAATGTTTCAACAAGCCTGCTTGATCAATTACCAAAGAAGAATGCCAAAATTATTCAGCAAAATAAGATTTTCTTTTCAAAGTGATTCAATTTTGTGTTGCAAAAATGAGTACACCCTCCTGAAAGTTACTAAAAAAAAAATAAAAAAAATAAAAGTGTATAGGTTTAAGGCTATTTTTGATCAACAGGTAAGTATATTGAACCAAAACTTTTAAAGACAAGTAATTTCCTGACAATTAAAAGTGTTATATAGCCCACTGAATCATACTCAGACTTAATGCTGGCAGCAGGGGAACCACTCGAGAGAGAACTGCCAGGTGACTTATTTCTTAGCATAAAAGAGGACAATGGTACAAGAGGAATACTAAATTATTGTTTTAAGTGTGAAAATATAGCAGAAGTAGCACCGACATTCAAAAACAATGGACTTGTGATAAGGCTCCTGAAATACTCAGGTCTTAACTTAAAGTTTTCATTTAGTGATGAGTGAATTTTTGCTAGAAAAAGAGCAGGAGAGATAACATGCAAGTGTCTCAGAGCCGGCAAAAGCTATGAAAAGAGTGACACTTTATCTCACAGAGTATGACGCAGCCTGCAGAAGTGACATGCATGGTTGTTGTCACCACTAGAATTACCTACTGTAGCCAAAGCACAATAAATTCATTTAACCTCTTCCAGAGCCCATATTTACAAAATAGAGACTTTTTGTAAATATGGGGAATCCATACTCTGGTCTCAAGAGACCAAGTCAATCATTTTGGATCCAAAATGTTCTGGTGTTGCTAGAGGAGGTGTACAGTGAGAAGTGCTTGGTACCCACGGTGACATTCAGTGGTAGTAAAGCTCTTCTATATAAGGATGAATGAGTGCTGAAGGTGTGAGGGAGTTGTGCTTTATCAATGCTGGCATGAATTCACACACCACTGTGTGATGTAATACAAAAACTTGAAACAGAAGATACCCTCCCATCATTTCCTGTATTATTGGGCATTTTTTCAGCATGACAATGAATATATTCATTCTCCCAAGGTGAAAATCCTTCAGTGGGCATGTATTTCACTCAATCTTAACACTCTTGAG